ATGCAGCCAGCTAGATCTCCCTGCATCTGCCTCTCATCTGGTGGCTGATTAGACTGTTATTGATCACAAAGCCTCTGCCCCTGCCTGGCCTCCTTCCTGCCCAAAACTGCTAGAAAAGGGGGTGCTCTGATTTTCAGATCGTCCATCACTTCATTACTCTGCCTTTGATCCCTTTTTAGTGAAACTCAACTTCTGCTCCAGCAGCCAAATTGGGAGCATTTGTCTAGTGAAGCAACAGCTAAAGCTTAAGCTTTGGGGGGACAGGGCCAAGGACCCAACTGCTGCTTATTTGTTTTGAAGCCAGGAGGCTCGCCTGCCAGTCGGCCCTTGTGGGGAGCTGGAAGCCCAGCTGGGGTGTCGTGGGTCCTGCCCGCATGGGCTGTCGTGCACATGTAGGCATCAGAACAGAGGGGCCGTCTGCCGCATGGCTGACCAGTGCCCCCGCTATTGCACACACAGCCTGCTGTCTCCAAGGCAGCAGTGGATTGTCAGAGCGTGCGGAAGACACCAAGAGGGGCTTAAGGGGGAGTGCATGGGGCAGTGAGGTGGGTACGTGGAGGACAGCGTGTTCCGTGCACGGATAAGACCTCAATTACAATGGGGCAGAAGCCAAGGACTAAGCTGGAGATGGCGTTCTGATCCCAGACTCCTTTCAGTTGCTCACGTCTTTCTTGCAAAATGATCTGTTAGGTGAAACAAAAACTCAGAAACTCTTGGTGGAGTAGTTTTTAGATTTATTAGAGTGTGCATGAGAGTGCTTCTCAGTGACTGAGGAATTTTCCAGGTGCCCCTGAGCTCACGATCGCTCACAGCTCACTTTGTGGGGAGCCTCCTGACTTGGCAGGTAGGGCACACCCTGTGCTGAGGAGGGCTAAGGCCTTTGCATTGCTGAAGTGCCTTGCTTGGGAAAGCAGATAGCAACATCCAGCTAGAACACACTGAGCCCAGGCAGTCCACCCTTCCCACAGTCTATACCTTCCTTCTCTCCGGGGGAAAACACATCTGCTCTCTTGGCTGAGAGGCTCAGCCAAGGCTGGGCTACATATTTTGTGGGGCTCAGTGCGAAGTGAAAGTCTTCCAAGCGCAGGGCCCGGCACAGCTGCACAGTGTGCATGCCCACCAAGCTGGCCTTGGGCACAGCCTTCCAAACTAGTCACTCGACAAGGACTAAATGAGCATGGTGCATCCTGAAGACGGTGCAGTGGGGCTTGGGGCGGGGGCATGGAGTGCAAAATTAATAGGTTGCCCGCTAGGAATTTGCAACTTAGTTTGGGTTGGTTATCACCAACACAAAATTAAATAATGATGAGATAATTCTTTAAAAGCCCAGAAGGCCTTGCACCTACCCAAAGGAAGGAATTCATGAGAGAGCTCGCCTTGACCCCCAGGAACCACTGGTTCAGCCTGGAAAGCAAAATGTGGCCATAGAGCTGAATCAGGCATTCTGTCATTGTCTTTGCCACACTACTCGCTCAACAGCATGTATTTCTTCTAGTGTATTTTTCATTTCAGTTATTCTTCAACTGATTGGTTGTTCTTTATATTTTCTAATTCTTAGTTAAAAACGTCTTGTAACTTCTTGCTCTATGCATCCATTCTTTTCCCAAGTTCTTGGATCATCTTTACGATCATTACTCAGAACTTTTTCTCTGGTGGATTGCCTATCTCCACGTCACTCAGTTGTTCCTCTGGGGTTTTATCTTGTTCCTTTACCTGGAACATATTCCTCTGTCGTGTCATTTTGTCTGACCTTCTGTTTGTATTTTTATGTATGTGGAAGGTTACGTTATGTTTCTCAGCCTTGGAGAAGTGACCCTCAGTAGGGGATGTCCTGTGTATCCCAGCAGTACACTCCCCTCTCGTCACCTGGTGGCCAGGGACCAGCTGGTCCCAGGGTAGGTCCAGACCTGTGTTTTTGGACTCAGTTCCACAGGCTATGTGACTATTTTTCTTGCTTCTGGTGTCTGCCCCCCCAGTGGGTAAGGCTGGTCTAGAGGCTTGTGCAGGCTTCCTGGTGGGAGGTGCCAGTACCTGCCCACTGGTGGGTAGCATTGGGTCTCAGCCATCTGGTGGGCAGGGCTGTGTCAAGGAGCGTGTTTAGAGGTGGCTGTGTGCTCAGGAAGTCTTTAAGCAGCCTGTCTGTTGATGGGTGGGACTGTGTTCCTGCCCCGTTGGTTGTTTGGCAGAGGTGTGCCAGCACTGGAGCCTGCAGGCTGTTGGGTGGGGTCAGGTCTTGGTGCTAATGACCCAAGCAAGATGTCAGCCTTCAGATGAGTAATCCCGATACGTTCGCCGCCAGCTTTTATGTCCCAAGAAAGAGCCACAGCCACCCCCTGCCTCCCCAGGAGACCCTCCAAGACCAGCAGGTAGGTCTGGCCAAGGCTCCTATGAAGTCAGTGCTTTTGCCCTGGGTCCCAGTGCACACAAGACCTTGTGTGTGTCCTCTAAGAGTGGATCTCGGTATCCCCCAGTCCTGTGGAACTCCTGCGATCAAGCCCCACTGACCTTCAAAGCCAAATGTTCTGGGGTCTCCTCCTCTCGATGCCAGACCCCCAAGCTGGGGGGAGCCTGACATGGGGCTCAGAACTCTCTCTTGTTTCCGTGGGAGAACTTCTGTGATATGTTATTCTCCAGTTTGTGGGTTGCCCACCTGGCGGTATGGGATTTGATTACGTCTCAAGTGTGCCCCTACTACCATCTTGTTGTGGTTCCTTCTTTGTCTCTTGGATGTAGAATATGTCTTTTTGGTAGGTTGCAGTCTCTTCTACTGATGGCTCTTCAGCAGTTAGTTGAGATTTTGTTGTGCTCGTGGGAGGAGGTGAGCTCAGGGTCTTCTCCTGCCACCTTATCCCAACCAACAGCATGTATTTCTTATTGCACATTTATTACACCTACTTTACCTCCTTCCTGTGACCCTGGAAGTAATCACTCAAGAAACATTCTGTTTTCAAAATATCCAAACTTAGATCAAGGTTGGCCACACTTGGATAAAAGGTTCATGGAAAATTTGTTGTCCTAAGCCCTTGAGCTCATACTATAGACCCAACTCAACTATGAAATTTGAGTTCACAGGCAACATGCATGGGCATCTTGTACCTGACTTGAGTGGCCCAGCTCCAAGATAGTCACTCATTGGTCATTCAGCATTCACTGAGCATCTGCTTGCGCCAGGCACCGGTTAGGTTCAGAGGACACATACGTGAAGAAGGCTTGGTCCCTGCCCCTAAAAAGTTCACAGTTGAGGGGCTTCCCTGGTGGCGCAGTGGTTGGGAGTCCGCCTGCCGATGCAGGGGACACGGTTCGTGCCCCGGTCCGGGAAGATCCCACATGCCGCGGAGCGGCTGGGCCCGTGAGCCATGGCCGCTGAGGCTGCGCGTCCGGAGCCTGTGCTCCGCAGCGGGAGAGGCCACAGCAGTGAGAGGCCCGTGTACCGCAAAAAAAAAAAAAAAAAAAAAAAAGTTCACAGTTGAATATTGGAGTCAAGGGGACAGTGATCCTTTCATAGAAATAAAAGGGCTTTCCTGCCCTGCTGTGGCTTGGCTTGACTGAGAACTTCTTGAAAGTTCCATTAAATGGGAAACCTCTTGACCTCACTGAGTGCCTTGATCACTGAGCTCTCCTCTGGTGGCAGCAGTTTGTTTTTGGTAATTAGCTCATGTCTTCTGTGAGAAACCTGATTCCCACCGCTCCTTTTGCCTTGTCTGGGGACCAACCACACAGGCAGGTGGAGTCTTGCAGTGAACTGCAGTTACACTGCGAATCAGAATGGGGTGTGGTCGGCACTGAGATGGTGCCTCCAGGGCTTTCTGAGTACCTTTATGGAGAGTGTCTGGGTAAATATTTTCATCTCTCTTATCTTATTCTCTATTAGTTTTATTTCCTCTCTTAAATTAAATTCAGCCACAATCCTGAAAACCAAATTTGGAATGCGGTTTTGTTGCACAAATGGCCCATTTTGTTCAGCCACAGCAGTGATTTGGCTCAAAGAGAGTTTTGTTGTTTGGACCGTTGGATTGTTTAGGAAACATCCTGCTTTGGTTCCAGATGGATCTCCATCCTCTCCAGTTTAAATCCCAGTCTTCCTGCCACTGAGCTAAGCCAGGAGAGACTGCAGCCTGGCGTCAGGACCCTCGGCTCGCCCGCATTCCACTGCCATTAAACCACTCTGGGGACATCCCTCTCTGCCTTAGAAAATCCTTCAGGCATCCACAGATCCCCATCCTTAGCCCTGAGAAAGAATTAGCCATGACATGACATGTAGTCGGCTCTCTGAATCTGCAGGTGGAAAATCCGAGGATACGGCAGGCCGACTGTAATTGTCGTCCAGCACAATTTTATATAAGGGACTTGAGCATCCGCCAATTTTCGTATCCACTGGGGCACCTGGAACCAATCCCCGAGGATACTGGGGAGGACTGCGTAGCTCCTGGGTAGCAGGAGTCAGCCTTCTGGTTGTAACCACGGTTAGCAATTGAGCAGAATCTCGGGCCTTTCACTTTTCACTGTGGATGTCTGAGGAGAAGGCGATTCTTGATTGAACTGGAAAACAGACAAAAGCATTCTCTGTCGTTCCTTTCAGTCTCCGTGAGCTGTGCCGGGACACCTGTGCCTTGACCATGACCCATTTCCAGCCAGGCTCAGTGGGGCTGATGGGCCTAGCCAACCTGCCCCCCATGTCAGTGTAACAAGAGAGGCTGGTCTGCGTCGCGACAGGCACCACTTCATGGCATTCTCTACACCCCGCCCCCTCAGCTTATATACACCCAGCTGAGCTCCCCATGCAGTGACGTGGGCCACACATTCCCTCCTGTAAACTCCTCTAGACACCAAAAGGTTAGAGGAAAGACTTGGAGCGCCCCCAGAGCACCCCCAGTGTGTGAGCTTCTTGCAGCTGTTGATTGTGACTAAAGACAGTGAGGCACAAGCCCACCCTGAAACGTTGCACTGTCTGCCTCTCTCCTCCATCGAGGCCCAACCGGCCCCTTCCCTTCTCTCCACAGATCTCCAGGACTTCAAGTTAGACGTGCAGCATGTGATTGAAGTGGATGAGGGGAACACGGCGGTCATCGCCTGTCACCTTCCTGAGAGCCACCCAAAGGCCCAGGTCCGATACAGCGTCAAACACGAGTGGCTGGAGGCCTCCAGAGGTGAGCGAACAAGTAGGAGCCCAGCGGGCCGGGGCCAGGAGGGAAGCTGGCCGTCTCTGCCGCGCTTCCCAAACCCCCGTCCCAACGCCGGCAGCCCCCTCCCCATGCTCGTCAGCTGTCTTCTGCCCTGACATTTAGCCCTGCGGGATCCTGAAGGGATTGGCCTCCGTTGTGGAGGTCCCCTGAACCTGTCGCGAGGAATCTCTTCATCCTTTGAGGCCCTGGCAGATGCTGCTGAGCTGCTGCCATTGGATGAGGGCTGAGACTCTCCCTGTGCAAGCTCCCCGCCACCAGGCACACACAGGAGGGCTGCCTGACATACCAGACATTCCTGGAGCTGTGGGGTTCCCTGTTGGGAGACGGAGCTCTTCCCCACCCCACCCACCTCCCACCC